AATATGTAATCTCATATTTATAAACATGAAAACTCAAAACTATGTATGTATAAAACTTGTGTTGTATATATATATATATATATATACACAAGGAAACCAATATAATGTGTGTGTATATATGATTGAGCTTAAAGTACCAACACACATAATATAAGAACCTAAACTTCATATACCCAAGCTTGTGATCTTCAACGAAGCTCTATCTTAGTACACTTGCGGATGAAGCTTGAACTTGAATCTTCAACTTTGAATTGCAATGCTTCACCGACTATTCCGCCAACCTCCATTTGATATGATCGTTGAGGCTCAATTCCATCCATCCTCCAATATGTTGTTTGTCTACAATTGATACAAAAACAAAAACACTAGACAAACAACATTAGAAGTAAATTGTTTATAAATTATCATCAAAACAAGAAGGCCAACAGATACTTCTAGTTGAAAGTGATTCTTTGAACTTATACAAGTGGATTCCTAGTGTGCGTGCGCCCAGATTAATTACTTTATCTCGGATAGGATGAAAGGAATTATAAGGGCATTACATAAGGGCTTTGGTGCACCACATTACCATCGATATTGTTTATGTTATATAAGAGATAATTTCAAGAAAAAGCACGGTGAGATTAATTTGCAAAATGTTTTGTGGCAAGCTGGGTGTGCAACCGATACATTAGTGTATAAACATTATAGAGAGAAAATCAAGTCTTTGTCATTAAATGCACATAATTGGCTTGAACATAACTTGAAGCCTCAATTCGAGCATCGATAGGCATTATGTAAGGATGAGGGTGTGCGGTTTTACATGATGATAACTAATTTCTCCGAGAGCTTTAACGACGTTCTTAAAGGAGCACGAGCTATGCCAATACAATCATTGGTTGCAAGAATGTTCTATAGGCTAAACTCATACTTCAACAAAAGGCGTGAGGACGGCGTAGAATGGACAACGCGTTACACACCAAAGAATGAGTCTATTTTGCATAGAAGAATTGAGGCGGCAAGATTATATCAAATTACTGTATTCAATGATAATGAATGGCAGGTATAGGATTATGACGGTATCTATACTGTTAAACTGTTTGATGTTGATTGCACTTGCACATGTAACATACCACAACTCTAAAAAATATCTTGTGCACATGTTCTTGCGGCTTCTTCCAATCAGCCGGGTGGTGCGAGAATTCCATATAATTGGTATTGTTCACCATGGTATTCAACAATTCATTACCGAAAGACATACAATGAGAGTTTTTATCCACCCGATGATAGTCAGTATTGGCCCGAATATACTGGACCACGACTAATTCCACCTTAATACAAGAGACAAGAAGGTCAACCACGATCTGTGCGAATTAGGGGAACCATGGATCAAGGACGAGAAGGAATTGTTAAGCATAAAAAATGTAGTCTTTGCAAACAACCAGGACATACTCGACCTCGTTGTCTAGCTAGACCCAATAGATAGCAATTAATTGGTAATAATTAACATATTCAAATTGTGATTTATTTTAATATAGAAAATATAATTAGTCGTGGATCGGTTATTGATATGTTATAATTGTATATGCAGGTATATACACCATGCAGCTTGGACCGGTTAGTGATGAGGTCCTATATGACCAGCCTCGACACCGTTCACATGTTATATCCTTTACAGAGGTAACTAAGTTTCTTATAATTTCAATATTGCATTCTTATAATATTGTATTCTTATATTTTCATTTGCTTTACAAAGAGGCCCGAATATTATTATGGTTGATTATAGCCTCGGCCATAGCCGGTGGCATCTAGAGGATGAGCGCATAATAGCAGCTGTAGGACAGACCGGCTTCTTGACATGTTCAAAGCTTCGTTGGATGAGACTCGATTGGCCCCTACTCACCGCTTTGATCGATAGGTGGAGGCCGGAGACCAACACTTTCCACTTCCGAATGGGAGAGTCTACTATTACGCTACAGGATGCAGCTATGATACTTGATCTCCGCATAGATGGTCCTTACGTTACTGGTAGTGATAGACATTTTTGGCCGAACAAGTGTGAGGAGTTGTTAGGTGTAGCTCCAGAGTCAATGCCTAGAGGAAATATTAAATTAAAGTGGCTAAAAGAGACCTTCTCAGTGCCATTGCCTTTTGATGTGCCACCAATATTGATTGAGCAACATGTACGTGCATACATTATGCACATGATCGGTTCAATATTATTTCTAGATTCGAGTAAAGATAAAGTGCATGCCAGGTATCATTTTTATCAGTATTTATAATTATGTCTGTTGAATTAGCTTATTTTGATAACTTAAAATGTTGTGAAAATGCTAGGTAGTTACCACTTATCGGGGACTTGGACACGTGTGGTGCGTTATCGTGGGGTAGTGTGGTTTTGGCGTACCTATATAGAGAGATGTCCAAGGTTGCATTCATGAAAAATAGTGACTTTAAAGGGTGTCTCAGCTTACTGCAAGTATGGGCATGAGAGAGACTGCATTTGAAGCCGAGACTATGCGTGAATTTACAATTAGACTTACTGCAAGTATGGGCATGAGAGAGACTGCATTTGAAGCCGAGACTATGCGTGAATTTACAATTAGACAGACAAATTCCACTGGGATGCATGTATTATATTTTTTAACGTAGTAAATATAATTGTAGTTATTATTTTGGTACTGAATTTTGAAACTAACACAGATGGAATGTCCAAAAATGTTATGACGAGACCCCGACTAGACAATTAGATTTCTACCGAAATGAACTTGACCGCATGAAGATTTTTCAGGTATCATTTCTATAAAAATGAGTTTTTTCTTCTATATATCAACTTTCGTTTTAATGATATGCAACAATTATATGTAATACTCTGTAGATGGAATGGGAGCCCTACACCCCATTTCTCGATCATCTACCCTACTCTGTAGATGGAATGGGAGCCCTACACCCCATTTCTCGATCATCTACCCCCGATATGCACAGAATACACAGTTATATGGAGAGCCAGAGTTCATCTAATATGTTTCGAGATAGTAGAAATGCATGTACCGGACCGCGTGCTTCAACAATTTGGTCTTGCACAACATGTTCCACAATTTGTTAAAAAAATAGAGAGAAAGGCGAAGAAAGGAGGCCAACAAAAGGACTGGGCAGCTGAGCATCAAAATTATATACACAGATGGAATGATAGACATTTTTGTATTGTTGAGCAAATTGAGCCAACTCCCCAGGAATCAGATTACTACACTTGGTATTGGAGGATAACCAGAAGATGGATACTCCATGCGGCCACATCCCCGGTTGAGTTGCAAAGAGGATATGTGCCTCGGGGTATAGATGAGAGAGAATTAGTAAGTATTTTCAAATTTATTTTAAGTTTATTTTTATTAGTATTTTTCAATATTGCTAAATATAATTGTGTTTTTTAAAAAAATTGCAAGTATCAGCAATAGGTGATGTTTAAACCATTGCAAATCGTGGCTTAGAGTTGGCTCGAGCTGGTAATGTAGAATTAAATATGAAATTTACATATTGTAATTTGAATTTTAAAGTAACTTTTGCATTTCAATTTTTTTTGAATTATCTCTCGCAGGTACATATCCCGAAGCACATAAACATTCATCAATATATTAGTCGATAATGCAGAGGCTTCACCAAGCCTTACATCGAACTCATGAAGACCTTCATGATGAACGAAAGGTAGCGCAATTAGTATACACACGTCAGCCACGACAAAGACGAGGACGACGCAGAAACGACAATGAAGCTGGGCCTTCCCAACGTGTTAACGACGGAGCTGGACCGTCACAACCACAAACACAACCGGATCATGAACTCATCGAAGGTCGGGATGGAGGAGGCCGAAGACAAAGGAGGAGGAGAAGAGTTCTTGGATGTATGTAAGCTAATCATTATTGTTATATAAAATACAATCCTATATATTTTGATATATACATTACAAACGTATTTCGGGACAATAGATGGTTTTTGGATTTGTAGCCGAGATTGTGGTGTGACTTATTAGATTCGTAAGTGGGTTTGTGGCATGATTTGTTGGATTTGTTTGAGTTTGTGGTGTATTTTATGATTTTTAGATTTGATATATGCGTTTATACAGGGAATTGACATGAAATACAATGGTGTAATTTATGAAACTTGCATTTGAAATATGAGTTTGTACAGGGAATTGCAACAACGCAGCAGAAATACATGCACATTTGTGCAGGAAATGCACGGGATTGCTAGGCCCGTGCATTTCATTGTGCACAGGAAGTGCACGGGACTTGTTTTTTGTAGCGATGGAACTCTCTGCAAAAAACACGGGACTGCTAGTCCTGTGTTTTTTCAAAGCTGGGTCGAAATACACGGGACTAGCAGTCCAGTGTACTTGTTTTTTGTTGCGATCGAACTCTCTGCAAAAAACACGGGACTGCTAGTCCCGTGTTTTTCAAAGCTGGGTCGAAATACACGGGACTAGCAGTCCTATGTATTTCGTAAAATTTTTCCAGCAGCAAAACCGACCCTTTTCAGAAGAAAAGGGTCGGTTTTGCTGAATAATGTCATATGAGGTCGGTTTTGCTATTTAAAATACCAAAAAGGTTGATTTTGAAAATTTGTCCATAGTTTATTTATAATAACAATTTGATCAACAATTTGCAGAGTGAATCATAACAACATCACAAAACTCATCAATTACAGCAGCCATCTAAATATCTACAAGAAATAACATCAAATTACCAACACGTCTAGCTCTGCTTTATTTCGTAAATAACAAGATACAAGTTCCCATCTCTTTTGTTTTTTTATCTCGAACACAAATCTTGGGGGCTGCTTTGAACTATATAACGTAGACAGTAAAAATCTCAGAACTGTCCTCCCTTAATACCTCACAACGGTCCTCCCTTAAAAAAATTTGTACTCCTTTATTATATAGTCCTTTATACATGCATAATATCACTATTCTTTTTTTTTAATTGTGTAGGGGATCCATATCCATATTCGTACCAAGCAAATTTCAATTAATTGATAACCCTGCACCTCACCCTAACCTCCCCTTGCTCCCCAGTCATCACCTCAATACCTCCCATCCTCACCATCGCCGTTGCAAACTTAGCCCCCCATCCCTCCGCATCCTTCGCGTTCCTCGCCACAAACCCAGCAGTCGACCGACTAGTCCACAGAGTCTGGTCCGACCCCAGCACTCCCCTCTTCTTCACCAAATTCAAATAGTATTCATTATCCAACTTTTCCGGCGTCTGAATATCAAGAACAACCGTTGGATCACCGGCATTATCGCCCCTCGGACACTGACCCTTCAACTGTTCAGCAAACGCCGGATCAATATTCGACGGGTAGGTGGAGTTATACAGCCTGTCGGCCGCAAAAGTCGAGCAGTGGGCGACCCCGGTCGAATGAGCCCCATAGAGAGTGATCATCTCGTCGAGAGTCAGGCCCTTGCTGGCGAAGTTGGATATGAGTTGCTCATCGTTGGACGTTGGTGGAGGGAGGTTTTGGATGACCTCGGCCTCGACGGAGTCACGGCCATCACGGCGACCAGCAGGGACAGAATAGGTGATTTTTCCGGAGGAGGACATGTCGACACAGTCGCGGGCTGCGAAGGCGATGATGTCAGCGCAGGAGACGGTGTGGGGGCAGGCGGATTCGATGGAGGTCTTGGCGGCATCGATGAGGTCGTAGCCACGGAGGCTAGGGTTGTTGACCGGTGATTCTTTCTCGGCTCTGTTGTCCGGGGTTGAGTCTAGGAGGATGGAAGCGTCACATCCCTGTAAGAAGCATGATGCGTTATAAGCAGTGATAAGATGTATGTAAGTAAATTATTAAGATTGTGTTACTTTCATGCTTGGTAATGATTTTTTAACGGTAGCAACCTAACACTTCTTTACTTGGTTCAAAGTAGTAGAATAAGTTGTGTGTATCATGCATTCAGAAAAGCAAATATATAAATAGTCAGTTGGCTCAGGCAAACTGAGTTAATATATCCGTGTGAGACTGTTTCAACCACCTAAACTAGCTAGTTTCTGGCTAGAAGATGTGTACATGTTTTATTTGATATATAGTCGGAAAATATGAAAGAAAGTAATTAAGTTCATATGATCAGGTATTTAATTCATAGCAATATGAAAAGGTCATATAATTGCTTGGTGATCTCTTAAGTATTCGATGAAAAGTCACGCATATAATTAATGAGGATCTTATATATAAATTAACTAGCTAGCTAAAAGAAAATTGTGTGGCTATACCCTAACAAAGCAGTCATGAAAATGCATCCTAATGATTGCCGGAAGCAGCCCTGGATCCTTGGCTACTGCATCGCTCACGGTCTGCCTTACGATGGACTCCGCCGATGGGCATGTGTGCCGATAAAAACCAACCTGCAATGGGTTAGCCATTGATACTGAAGCAAGAATTAAGAAAGCAATAGAAAACAAGCTTATTCCCTCAACCTTAACACTCATCATCTTACTTATAGCTAGTTATATCAGAGAGAGAGAGAGAGAGCTTTACTTCTAATGCTTGATGAAGATTTTGGGCACATATATGTTGCTACTTATAAGGGTATTACATATGAGAGATATTACGAGCATTGATGAAGATTTTGGGCACATATATGTTGCTACTTATAAGGGTATTACATATGAGAGATATTACGAGCAAAGACTAGGTAAATTGACCTCTTCTGCTTGCTACTTATAAGGGTATTACATATGAGAGATATTACGAGCAAAGACTAGGTAAATTGACCTCTTCTGCAGCTCTGCTGATACATTCTTTAGGGTTAATTAAGTGAACGTGTAGTTGGTAAGACTAATATATGCATGATGAAGATTTTGGGCACATATATGTTGCTACTTATAAGGGTATTACATATGAGAGATATTACGAGCATTGATGAAGATTTTGGGCACATATATGTTGCTACTTATAAGGGTATTACATATGAGAGATATTACGAGCAAAGACTAGGTAAATTGACCTCTTCTGCAGCTCTGCTGATACATTCTTTAGGGTTAATTAAGTGAACGTGTAGTTGGTAAGACTAATATATGCATGATGAAGATTTTGGGCACATATATGTTGCTACTTATAAGGGTATTACATATGAGAGATATTACGAGCAAAGACTAGGTAAATTGACCTCTTCTGCTGATACATTCTTTAGGGTTAATTAAGTGAACGTGTAGTTGGTAAGACTAATATATGCAAAAAAATGTTTTAGGTAGCAATCTGACGTAGTTAAAAGTTATGAAAATGAGAGAGAGCTTCTTACAGATTAATTTGCAGTATATGCATGTACATGGATTATTATTTTTAGTTTTTGGTAAATAAAAATTTTATTCATTCAACCGTATGGAAGTGTGTGTACATCAAAAAAAAAAAAAACTCATGGATTGAGTTATCTACATAAGAATACGAGGAGTGTAGTTTTGTGCTTAAATTTCAGTCCAGTTTTCAGTTGCAATATCTGACTGCAGCAACTATAAAGAGAGCATCTAGTTTTTGTTCTCCACAGGTAACCTGCTATTAAGAACTACTGTCAGTAAATCCACTTTGATGCATTTGATGAGTTGCTCAACAGTTTTGGATCTCTACTTAAAAATTCTTCTATTGCGTTCCAACCATATATTGTAGATAGAGGAGGTGAGAGTCATCCTTTTAACATTGAGCTTGAAAACTTTCCTCCGCTGATTGGCTACATACCAGTTCATTAATAGATTCCAATCACAACTTTTCCAATTTCATTGTAGCCAATTCATTACTCCATTCAAGTCATCACTCAAAAATTTGCATTCAAAAAACAGATGGTTACGAGTTTCAGCTCCTGAATCTGCACATAATACGCATTGGCTGAATTGAATGACCCCTCTTCTAAGCAACTTATCTTGTGTTAGTGGTCTATCTTGGACAGCTAACCACGAGATGAAAGAGTGCTTGGGGTAATTTAAACCCCCCTCAGATTGTAATATTCCATGGCACTTTGTTTGTAGCAGGGGTTAAGGCATGATATAAGTCTGACAATATAATTTTTGAGCTTCTGCAACATGATCTGATTAAGCTTATTAGATTTTCCTCTCCACCACAATAATCGAAAGCTTTATTCCTGACTTTCAACAGTTGCTTCCACAACCAGGAATCACTATTTTTCATATCAACCTGCCGTATACTCCTGTGTTTTAGATAAGTGCCTTGAAACACGGATTAATTTGACCACTACCTTTGGTATGCAGAATTACTCTTTTTAATTGAAAAGTTTATACGGAGAGTAGATTAATTGAGAGGACAAAATTAATTATAGTCTTATACGAAGAATGGAAACGAGATTTGAGGAGGTCAATCGTTTTAGTTGATTGGATAATCTAAACTTTTGAGGTTACGATGAATACGTACTTCACCTAGTTGGTCAAGAAAATTTGCACGCAACCAATATTTTTAATTTTTCGGTACTTGAAAATTAGAGTTATAATTTGTAAGAATTAATATTATACATTGTACGTATAAGTCATCCGTTGTATAAAACAATATTATACATTGTACGTATGTCATGGTTATTATTTTAGCTAAATTAGTTGTAGCTTTAGGTGAAAGCTTTTTAATTACTAATTAATTAATGGTTAAAATGTGAGCGCTCTCTTTCTGGCGACAACATTTGTAACATTTGCAACTAATCGAATACAGCGAATAATATTTGCGATACGATGAGGGGGTGTTTGTTTCACCCTTTTTATGGAATAAGAATAACAATTGAATCTAACATGGGCAAAATTGTAAATAAATGATTCTTTATGAATCATATTCCTGAGTTTGGTTCACAACAAATTTATAGATTTCAAAATCTATAAAGTTAAAAAAATATGGTGATTTTATAGAAACCCAAATCCTAATGATTTGGGGTAAAAAGCTGACACACCTGTACTATTCTTCCTGTCTTTTTTTTTCGGATTCCGTTTCTTCACAAACCCTATATTATTATGAGACCGAATCCTATTATCATTTCAAACCAAACTAAAGAATAGGAATTAGAGGATTTCTATAAAGTTGGATTCTATTTTTTCATGTTATGAAACAAACATAGAAAGGAAAAAAAAAAAGATTCCATGAATCCATAAAGTTCGTCTTAAATTTTTTTATGGATTTAGTAGGAATCCATAAAAAATCGGATTCATAATCCTATTCTTGTCCACTATTGAACCAAACACCCCCCATACTATGTAGCCAAACTCATGAATATCATATTTTAGGAGAAAAAAATGGTTCAACCCCTCTAGCTATATCCAAACGTGTGACCGCTCCCCTCCCGATTTGACTACTCAAAAAGTGAAAAATGTTCCTCTATCTTGTTTACAACTTTCCTTTTAAAAATGACAACATCAAACCCTCCCCCCCCCACCCCCCCACCCCACCCACCACACCCAAAAAAAAAAAAAAAACAAAACCCACAGATAAAAAACATAATCCGGGGAAGGAACTATAAATTATCGATTCAGAATTTTCTAGACTCATCCCACTTACAAAACACGCTATAAGCATCTGTATATATATATATATGCTACTACAGTGACTCTAAAGCTTTCTAATTAGATTCATGCATATAATGATATTCATGCACTAGACCCCTTGAATAACTAAATGACCTTCCGCATTTCCAGTGACAATCATATCAAGTTTGCTTTTTAACGACAACAATCAGTCCCAGAAATTATACCCCTACATTGTTGCACCCCACTGTTGGGCGATGCAGGGGATTCCCTCTCATCCCCCCAATAGTAAACAACATCCCAGGACAAAATATTTAGTTTGGTATTTGAACATAGTGGATTTGTATTAGAAGTGTCTAAAAATATCCATTTGGTTTAAATTTGGGTTTGGTTAACAATAAGACATGAGGTGGGATTAGCGTCACATAGGGAGGGAATAAATAGATGGATATATGGTTAAATATGTTAAACTCATGACTCAAACAAGGTTAATCTTTCTTTATCAGCTAGAATCTAGCAGATTAGCCCTGTCCATATCCTTTAAATGAGCCTTTACAATCCACGAAATTTGCATTAGACTCTCAGCTATGAACCAGGCAACAAGGTGTCGACTAATTAAAAATAATATCAATAAATTTGACAACAACATTAGTTTTAGCCTAATATAAGTTTGGATGCTCATCATACTGACACATAATGAATTTGTAAAAAGCTTTGTTTGGTAAGTCAAAGAAATCCACTATAATATCTAAGGAGGATTGGAACGAGTTGGATGATAAAGTTCTTGTGGAGAAACTCAAAAAAACCAGTTTTTCTGTCATAAGTCGACTCATGCATATGCATAAGTCGACTTATGGTAAGTCGACTTGTATCTGTGCATGAGTCGACTTACGTTCTGTTTTGGAATTGTTGGTTTTGGTCACAAACAAGTCGACTTATTAGGATTGTTCAATTGACTTACGTTCTGTTCTCCAGTTGTTGATTTTCGCTCGGCCAAGTGGACTTATGGAACCTGTTAAGTTGACTTATGATAAGTCGACTTTTTCCTACTAATAAGTCGACTTACGACGATTTTCAGGCCTGTTTTGGTTTCTTGTTTGGTTTGGATTTCTGTTTTAATATAAATAGAAACACGATTAGTTTAGGGTTTATCAATCATATTGATTGAGTTTTGGGGTAGCTTGAAGGAGAGTTTTGAGCACAGAAAAGAGAGTTCTTTCTGTGCAATTTGTTTGAGGGTTTTTGTAAGAGATTTGAGAGTTTAGTTTGAGAGATTATTTGTAAGCTTTTGAGTTATCTTGTAATCTCTATTTTGTATTCTCTTTCTCTATATTGAAAGCCCATCTCCTTCTTGTCCTGTGGACATAGGTAATTTGCCGAACCACGTTAAATTTTGGTGTTTGAGTTTGTGTTATTATTTTGCATTGTTTGACGATCTCTTGGCATTTGTTTGTTTTGGCTTCTCAAAGCACATCGGTTTGGTCAGTACTCCCAACAAGTGGTATCAGAGTTCGAGCTATGCTTGGGCTATTTGGAGGAGTAGATTGCTTTGGAAGCTCGTCTAGGGTTTCAATTAGAGATAAATGTGGGATCTTTTTTGGTAAAATTTCTATCTTTTCTCACTTTAGATCTATTCTTTAGTTTGTTCCACATTAGTTATTGGTGTGTTGAGGAAGATGAGTGGAAAAGAAAGTACATCGGGTGTTGAGGGTGGTGCTTCTGGTGTGAAGACCATTCAAAGTTTGAATATCCACTCTACGAAGATAGATATGGAAAAAATTAATGGCACAAATAATTTTAGATTATCGAGATGTGAGATTTTAGATACGCTGAACATGCAAAATTTGGAAGATAATTTAGAGTTGGATGGCAAGCCAGATGATATTTGTAAAACTCTGTAAATTTAAAATTTTTCATGATAAATAACGATAAATATGTTTTACGCTAAAAAATAACATATTTTGATGTTTTAGTATAATAAAAATTGATTTGAGATAAATTCAATAT